TAAATAATACGCGACATTCTCTTTTCATTCGTTCCCTCTGTGCTTTATTTGCGGTGTCATATTCTACTTCAAGGTTCGTGGGTAATTAATCGAGTAATGAAAGATGATAAGGACACTTTTAATTTGTATTTTGTTTTATTGTTGTTGCTTTATCGTTTGTTTAATATTCCCGATTTGTTTCGTAGACAGTTTATTATTTAGTCATTGGGTTCTCAGACGATTACCTTGTCATTTACTTGGTATTTCAGTTACTTCGCTACATTCATGAAAGTGTATAATTATTTCTTAGGCTTTATTCATCGTCTGACTGTTCTTTGTTTTCAATTAATGGCACAGACTTTCGTAAATTGGTTCCATTTCTACCTTTGAGTGACTGATGGGAGGACATACTATTTTATTTGGCCCCTTGATAGAGATAATTTCAACCTTGGAGCGCTACTGATGGTCCCAAGAGGATGGGGTTTTGTTCTGTAGTCAGTCAGCAGAATACAAAAATAGAAGCCATTTTTCGAAACGCCGTGCTTTTAATTAGTATAAATCACCCAGACAATGGGGAAGCCCTGAAGAATAATTACATATTATGCCACAATGTCAGACACTTTAAATTTCGAGTACATGAAGGTGTTCAGAGATTGTAGCACGCCGAATATAGACAGTCAAATATAACACTTCCACAGGGCCCTGTAAGTTTTCCCTTTGCTGAAAGACGCATATAAATTCAAGTATTGAACTTAGATTGAGGTATAAATTTTTTACATAAGGTACTGTTTTTGCCTCACTTTACTTAGCTGCACTGGGTGTGTAGCTTGGAGACAGCCATTTGAAATAACACAGAACTTCATCATCTCCGTTAAGTCTCTCAGGAAGCACGAGCAATATTATAATAGCAGTGAATACACTTCCATATCAAAGGGATTCACAGGCTGTAGCTTAGTCGTGAGAGAATATTCTTTTATTCGTTGCAATTTTGTACCCTGTCCCTTTAATCTGGTTGTGTGATTAATTCGGGTCCTGCTTTTAAAGGGGTACTAGATTTAAACTCTATGTTATGTGCGAACCGAAACGGAAATGTAGAAAGTTCCCTCTCTCAATTGCAACTTACTTATTGTTGGGGAATTGTGTGTTGTGTAGAGGTGGTATGATAAGAGCCACAGGACAGAGGAACTGTGCATGAGTTATTGAGAGCCGCTGTGGTCTAACGCACAATCCCAAGTAATTGTAAGGGATAATAGAGAATTGTACAATGCTACAAACTCGCCCGTAGTGGTTCTGAAACCATTATGGCTCAGTTATTAACATAAATATTACAGTATTTTCTCTGCAGTAAACTGAAACTGTACATCGCCTACGTTACAATATGAACTTAAACATTAAAAGTACGGTTATGGTACAAGGTGTTAGTTTTCGCATTAGGGAAGTGTATTTTCCCTCCGGAGGGCTCTCTCCACTCAATTGGCTTATTCATCGCCCTGATGACGGAGGCAGTGTGACCTCTGAAACGTTGGTAAACATCGGGCAGACTACACAGCGCAACAACCCAGAAGACAGAAAACTTCATACTCATCGCCCTGATGACGGAGGCAGTATGACCTCTGAAACGTTGGTTAACATCGACCAGACTACGCAGCGCAACAACCCAGAAGACAGAAATCTTCATACTCATCACCCTGATGATGGAGGCAATATGACCTCTGAAACGTTGGTAAACATCGGCCAGACTACGCAGCGCAACAACCCAGAAGACAGAAATCTTCATACTCATCACCCTGATGATGGAGGCAATATGACCTCTGAAACGTTGGTAAACATCGGCCAGACTACGCAGCGCAACAACCCAGAAGACAGAAATCTTCATACTCATCACCCTGATGATGGAGGCAATATGACCTCTGAAACGTTGGTAAACATCGGCCAGACTACGCAGCGCAACAACCCAGAAGACAGAAATCTTCGTATTTTATTTACGAAACTGTGTATGAATATGTTCATAAAACAACAGTGATTACATCTAAAATCTGGGGTGAAAGCGATACTGAGAAAGTTGAACCATTCTATAAGATTCCATCGTATTTTACTGAATCGGTTTTATTCATCTAGGGGTTGCAGCTGGCCGCTTTTCGAAAAGAGATGTTTCACAAAAAAAAACTATACGTTCGATTCTTCTTCCTGCTATTCGATTCGTCAGTTCTGTCCGTTGTAGCCTCCATGACTTAATTGAATTAAAAGCGGGTTGCGGTAATGGTTTTAAGTCACGAAATACTCTGTTGCTCAATTTCCTCCTCTTTTATCTCTTTTACATACATGTATATTAATTACTAACTTCTTTTCAAGTGCGTTTAGTTTATGTCTTTTCCACAAGATAAGATTCTCAACCTAACAGTCGTGTAAAACATCACGCAGAATATGTTGACTTCTCATAAAAGTTTTGTTATTTCATAAGGATGACTGAGATGTAGTTGAACTGGGTAACTGGGAGTTTTGCAGCTGAAAAACATTCGGAAGGAGTATCGATTATTCTGACTCAAAAAAAATTCGTGATTTTAATCAGTTCTTTAAGAATGCTATATTGTATTTTTCTTTCAAGTTTTATAGGTCCACCATATTAGGTAATATACAGCATGCAGTAGCTACAGAGCTCTTAATGATCCACTAGTTAAATAATGGTCTTCACTCCAATTTAATCGCGATTTAATTAACCTTTATTCGTAGACTTTGTTGTAGCTGATAATAACAATATCATTATCGTTTGGCCCTCATAGAACTGATCCGGCTCCATTTTCTATTTGATTGGACCACCTTTCAGACATGATGATAGTGTCACGCTTGTTTACAAACTGGTAGTTTTCCTTTTAGATAAATATTGCGCCCAGTTTTGTATTCTTGAGCTTCAATATATGTGTATATGATCTGAGGTTTTCACAGCGGTGACTATGAAGATTTCTTTCTGTCTTCTGGGTTGTTGCGCTGTATAGTCTGGGCGATGTTAACCAACGTTTCAGAGGTCATACTGCCTCCGTCATCAGGGCGATGAGCATGAAGATTTCTGTCTTCTGGGTTGTTGCGCTGTATAGTCTGGGCGATGTTAACCAACGTTTCAGAGGTCATACTGCCTCCGTCATCAGGGCGATGAGCATGAAGATTTCTGTCTTCTGGGTTGTTGCGCTGTATAGTCTGGGCGATGTTAACCAACGTTTCAGAGGTCATACTGCCTCCGTCATCAGGGCGATGAGCATGAAGATTTCTGTCTTCTGGGTTGTTGCGCTGTATAGTCTGGGCGATGTTAACCAACGTTTCAGAGGTCATACTGCCTCCGTCATCAGGGCAATGAACCCAGAAGACAGAAATCTTCAAGTTTAATATATGTTATTTCTAGCCATCATCCGAGTTATAAGCCTAAGCAATATAATTTATGCTGCCTTCATAGAAGCAGGTAATGTTGCAGAATGAGTCCAAGAATCTTTACCAAGTGAATCTTACGCAAATAACACTTTCTTTGTGATAGTATTCGTCTTGTCACGTAGTTGGTTCACATTAACGGTTAAACACGTGCTTCATTTGTGAGCCAAAAGACTGTCATTTTGCACTAAAGAGTCCATGACTGTGCAAATAAGCTATATATAGAGGGGATTTGAACGTATTGCCGTTGTTTGTTTCTAATTAGGACTGAATTGTCCATAGCAACTCAGATTGGATACAGTGGGTAACCCCTTCTCTCTCTCTCTCTCTCTCTCTCTCTCTCTCCACCTCTCACTCGGCTAAACTGCAGGTTGTATTTCCACATAGTAATTATTTGTGCGCTCTGTCTCGAGTCCGTGCCATGTTCAGTTCAGTGATATGTCACTCCTTCACGCAGTTGCCCCAGTAAGGCTTCCCAGTGTCCATGTTTAACATTCTCGTCAGCAGTGCATTAATGGAAGATGGATTTAGTAATTATAACACGCTTATGACTTCGTCTGTAGGTATTAACCATTTATATGATACGCACAAGATATGTAGTTTAGAATCACAGGTCATTTTGAAGTTGTTTTGTTTACGAGTGTAATAAATTTCTGTCAACACACAAAAGTATTTGTGGTCTTTGTCGAAAGAAATTACAATTTTCGTTACCATGAAAATGTTCAAACAAAGGATTCATATAAAACAATTATCGACGGAGTAAACCATTTCAGTTGTGATAATTATATAAACCACCCCCTTTTACCTTCACCAACTCTGTATTTTGCCCACATAGTGTATGTATGTTTATTATGTTTCTCAGAAGAAACCGACGTTTTAGAAGTACTTGCATTCTCCATCGTCAGGAGGATTATTAATTGTCCTGACGATGGATTTGCTTCCAAACTCCTGTAATGAACTTGAACAAGAGAAGGGAATGAAGGAAGATGGATCTAAGAAATTTATTTAAAGTTTAAGCAGTGCAACTGTAGTAAGGAAACTTCCGTGAGCTTGGCATAAACCCACTGCCCGTGGTATTATTATTTATAAGAAACGACATGTTGAGTAAGTTTATGAGCTATATGCTAATTACTTGCATCGTAAGGCCAAGCGCTCTGGGGGATAACTATTATACTAACTGAATTCGGTAAATGCACACCAAATGAGTGAGTAGGATAACAGAAGGATATTGTTCTTGCGCATAACATAGACTGCAAAGAACTGTAACGTTATACAACATTTGCTTAAAAACAATGCCAGGGATTTCAGTTAGAAATAGTTTTCCCCTTGCACATGAAAGTAAGGTAGTGTATATGTACAGTAATTATAAACAAAATCCATTAACAACAAAAATGCCTACGGCACAACGCATTGAGGTATACACTTTTATCACTATAAGTTATCGTGAACTTTTCCGTCTCTCCAGAAAATCTTTTAAGTGGGCCAAAATTGTCTAGTTTGCTACTATTCATGATCATCTCCTTTGAAACTTAAACTATACAGTTTAAACACTCCGGATTCGTCAAACACATGACAGTATATATATATATATATATATATACACACACATATATATACGTAGTTTCCCCAGGAATGGTGTGAGAACCTCCAGCCATACGTGTAGGCTACACATACTACAGACATGTTAGAGAAGTAGTCTCAAATACAAGGTATTTATTTATTTATTTATTTGTTTGTGGTTTATTTAATGACGCTGTCAGTAGCTGAGACTATATGGCTTCGAGACACGTTACTAAAGTAAGCAAATAGCGTGACCTGTCAGCTGTCGTCGGTCAGGGAAAATATGGCTTCCGGCTTGACAGAACTCGAGGTAGGTCTTTAGTAGAATCCTAATAGACGCAATCTCACATGATAGGTTTCACAAATTATGTTTCTTCCTTACATTTTGAGATACGAGGTAGAGCTAAAATGGCGTTTATCATGGCCTTTTGAATGACTTATAGGATTTTAAACGCAAAATTTGCAAGATTGCAGGTATCACAGTAAAGATTCATAGCTGTAGACAAATATATACTAGTTATCGGCCCGCGGGCCACATCCGGCCTGACACATGTGTAAACAGGCCCGCGAGATTATATGTTAATTTGTTGCTAGTTACTAAACCCCGTTTATTTACCTTGCTTCAAAATTCTGAAAAAAACATCGTGGTTCCTATCTCGATTTGTGCTTTACGTAGCTTTAAGTATCATAAAATAAAAGTTACAAAGGCAATAAATGTTTCTGATTCAAGATATTCATAGGAAATAACTTAAAATAGCATGTAATTTTGTTCATATTTCAATGAAGTTTATATTTTATCGCATACATAATATGGAAATTTCTTAATACGTATGGTTAGTGATCATGACAGTTAGATGCTAGTATTTAAAAATAGTGTCTGTGGGGGGAGGGGGGTCCTTGGCCCTTAGATTAAACGGAAAACTATTCTTGGCTCTAAGAAAGAATACTTTTGACTACGGTGCTCGATCGTACTTCCCGCGTCTACTGGGGCGCCGCTCAAACACTGTGCTCATCAGATTAGTTATTTTGTAATGTCACCCAGATTTAATGAGTGAGTTGAATCATATAATTACTTGGTGTGTTGATTTATTGTCTACGAATAAGCAGTTTGTCCTTTTTTCTAGGTTCGGAATGTCACGGATTTGACTAGACACGTCTTGTGTAGCATTTTATCGGCTTCCCGCCTATTTTTCCTTCAATAAAATACATAATAAAAGTATAGATTGTCCCAAAAAGATGTATATACATTATAATACAGAATATTAACCTTATGTGTATAGATCTTTTTGGAACAGACTGTAATATCAACGCCTACATAATCGCCCTGTGTTATCTGTTTCTATGGCAATCAGAACAGGACTAATATTGTTGTCGACTAAACACAAGTTTCCTTTGCTTCTCCATCATGTGCAGTACCAATGATGCATGACATCCCATAAAAAACAAGTAGGCTTATGTACAATATAAAATAGCTTTATCGTCCCGTTATCTCATATTCGAACAATGAAGCAGGGAGGCTTGTTCGGTGCTAATATGCTTTTATAAACAGTAATAAAATGACTATCCAGTAGAGGAGAATACTACAGTAGTAATTCTTTATTCAGG